TGGAAAAATCAAGTGAATATATTTTTAAATTTTTAAATCATTTAAAATTCAAATTAAATCGTAAATTCTCGTCCTTCTGCTCCTCAAATTTTTGTATTCACTGAATCTTGAAATTTTATGATTTTTTCCCATCAAGAAAAAAAATACCCCCAACTTCCACTAAAAATCAAAATATTTTTTCACAAAATCCCCTCAAAACATGAATTTTTAAAAATGAAATAAGTTTTGAAAAAAATTAATCCCCATCCAGTTGCTCTTCACTGTCACACACCAGAGATCGAACCAAATATAATAATAATTTTAATGAAGTGAATTACGAAACGAGATCATGGAATGCAAGTGGTTGATAATTTAAATGGCCACTTGAGCAGATCGACGATTGAAATAACACGCGAAGGAAAAATCGTGGGAATTATCCAGCTGCAACGAGTAAATAAAGACCAGTCAGATGATACAGTGCGTGGGCAACTATGATGCATCACAATAAAGCATATGAAGGTGTCGATCGGAAGCTATAACTCAGCAAAAAATTGTTACGATTGAATAAATCATCTCTTCTTCTGAATAAAATTATCGTCGTATCGCAAGGACAATCAGTCCTTCGTAATCATTATTTTTCCATCTACTGCGCATTATTATTCTTTTTTTTAGAAATAAAAAATTTTAAAAGACCCATTTCGCCCTAATTACCAAAATATTGCAAAAATCCATCTCATGAAATGAGTCGTGTTCATTTATTCTTAATAATTTTTTACGAAGAGGAGATAGAAAATAATTTTTTTTTCCAAAAAAATAATTTTTATAGTAAATTTAAAAAAATCGTTATGTATTTTTAATTGTTAGAGGGTCACAAGGGTCAGGTGGTATCAAAGAGTCTTAAAGAATGCGAAAGGACGCATATCCAACAGAATAAAACAAAAAACGATTTTCTACAATTTTTTTTTCTCACAAAAATTGAATTTTTTCGTAAAAAATTGTAAAATAAAAAAATTTTAATTAATTTGTAATTATTGAGGGCTCACGAGGGTCAAGAGGGTCAGACGATTCTTAAATACCCATTAGAATGTGAAACACAAAAGGGGCAATTTTTTTTTCTCAATAATTTAAAAAAATACCATTTTTTCAGAAAAAAAAATTTTTTTCATAAAAAATTGCAAAATACCAAAAAAATTGATTAATTTGTGACTATTAAAAAGTCACGAGGGTCAAGAGGGTCAGACGATCCTCAAATGAGCATCCAAATGTCCACAACAAATGGAACAAATTTTGTTTCTCAATAATAAACAAAAAAAAAATCTCCAAAATTTTTTTTCCGCAAAAATATAATTTTTTCATTAAAAAACGGCAGTAAGAAAAAAAATGTCAATCAATTTGTACCGATTAAGGGGTCATCAGACCGGAAAAAAAAGATGGAGCAATTTTTTTTTCTCAATAATAAAAAAAAATTAAATTTGAGCGAAATTGAATTCAGACTGAAGAATAATTTCAAAACCAAAGCGCGACCCCGCAAAATGATACTATAATACCTACAAGAGTGTGAATAATGTATCAAAGAGGGTGCGGAGGTACTCGGCGAGAAAACTGACACAATTACGTGTGTATTCCCTCCAATTCACGTGGAATTCCTACTCAATATATATTAGCAGAAGTGTATTGCTTATAATCCAGGGTAGAGTGCCTTTCTCAATGCTCGCAAGTACCCCAGCGACATACACGCGCACCTTAGAGAGGCAAAGATATATCCCCGCAGTGTACCGGCGAAAGATAGTAACGGATTAGAGATTAGTGGGTGTGTTACGGGTCGATACGGGTGTGCGACCATGCGTTGAAATGAAAGGAGACGCATCTCTCTCTNAAAAAAAAAAAAAAAAAAAAAAAAAAAAAAAAAAAAAAAAAAAAAAAAAAAAAAAAAAAAAAAAAAAAAAAAAAAAAAAAAAAAAAAAAAAAAAAAACTATCCTGCACGTCTCTCGCAGTCAGAAGTCGAGTCGATTGCGGGAGTAAATTTACGTGTCAAATTGAGGAAAAACCGTTGATGAAGAATCCCATTAGTAATTACGATGCAATAAAACTGAATCCCTCAACTGTTAATAAGGAAATGAAAATTGTTGAAATGATTCGAGACATTGACGTAATTGAAATTAATAAAAATTAAGGTAACTGTGTGGTAATTGAATGGAGTATTTAGCCTTAATTGAATTTGAAGGTAATACCTGGTTCAATTCTGATGATGAGATAATGAGAATTGAATTTAATTGGGGGGAGGGGGTATCATGCAATTGCAGATGCATTGAAAATTGAATTAATTGAGTTAAATTAATTGAAAAAAAATTTTTACTTGAATTTTCCTGATTTCTGTTGATTTTCATGGAGTAATTCAACTAAAATTCACGGCTTTGGTTAATGTTTTCATAGAGTTTTATGTTTTTAACGATGAAATTCCTTGAAATGACTCGAGACATTGACGTAATTGAAATTAATAAAAATTAAGGTAACTGTGTGGTAATTGAATGGAGTATTTAGCCTTAATTGAATTTGAAGGTAATACCTGGTTCAATTCTGATGATGAGATAATGAGAATTGAATTTAATTGGGGGGAGGGGGTATCATGCAATTGCAGATGCATTGAAAATTGAATTAATTGAGTTAAATTAATTGAAAAAAAATTTTTACTTGAATTTTCCTGATTTCTGTTGATTTTCATGGAGTAATTCAACTAAAATTCACGGCTTTGGTTAATGTTTTCATAGAGTTTTATGTTTTTAACGATGAAATTCCTTGAAATGACTCGAGACATTGACGTAATTGAAATTAATAAAAATTAAGGTAACTGTGTGGTAATTGAATGGAGTATTTAGCCTTAATTGAATTTGAAGGAAATATCTAGTTCAATTATAATGATGAGATAATGAGAATTGAATTCAATGGGGGGGGGGAATATCATGGAGTTGTAGATGTATTGACAATTCAATTAATTGAAAATTGAAAAAGATATTTACTCGAGTTTTCCTGATTTCTGTTGATGAAATTTACAGTTTTCATTGATTTCGTTACTAAATCAGGACTTTTCAGCGACAAAATTCCTTAAAATTTCAGTGCAACTATCCCTCAATAAAAAAATAAAAATTAATTGAAATGAAATTAATAAAAATGTCCATCTTAATTGAGCAAAGTATTTATCCTTAATTGAATTGGAAAGAAATACCTAGTTCAATTTCGCTAATGAGAAATTGTGCCCGTGTGATACCTACCACACATGGACAACACGTACAACAAAATAATCATCCGGTAAATCCAGTACCCATTAATGAAGTTTCCTGGTGTTAAAACGATAACTCATAATGAGTCCATTTTCCTTTTACTCTATCGACAACGAGAAACAAGAAAACTTTTGATTTCGATGAAATTTCCATTCTCGTTTTTTACACTTCACGTTTTTTTTTTTTTTTTTTCAACTCTGGCATTCAACTTTCCTTCGTATTTCCCAATAAATCATTATCTCGATGGGATCTGGATGAACGTTGGCGCTCACATCCGCAGGAGTCGTGAAATAATTTCAATTATCGTTTCTTTTTTTTTTCTCTCTCTCTCCTGAGTTCTTTTTTTGTCGCTTTCTAAAACGTCAGAGACTGATTTCCCGAAACCCAGGGGGATCTTCGGGATTAGCTGAGGCAAGAGATTTTTTTTCACTTGCTCCTTCACCCAAACGGTTGGCAATAATGTTCGATGGTGCGTAGAGGAAACTGTTACCTCATCGGAGATCACTAGTCCAGTTGACTTGTCATGTTCGAACGACTAGACACGAGACTTTTTTCACTCCTTTCTTTTTTTTTCTCTTTGAGGGGGAACACTGTTAACAGTTTTTCACTGAAATGTCCGGTAAGAGTCTTGGGAATTTCGACCAAGTTCTTCCAAGGAATTTTGTCGTTGAAAATTCAGGATTTCGTCGAGAAATTCGTGGGAATTGTGATCTCAGTGCAATTACTCCGGGAAAATTAATGACAAATCAGGAAAATTCCCTTCACAGTTCGTGGAATTTCAAGAATTTTAAAGGTCTTATCGGCAAATTCAAGGGAATTTCGCACGGAATATTCATTTTCACTTGAAATTTCATGTGAATTGTGGAACTTCCGTCTTCCTGTCGTAAAAAAATGGGACTTTACTTGAATTTTCAGAGAAACTCAAAATTCCAGACTTTTATTCTTTAAATCGAATTCAACGTCTTTTTCCGGAAAATTCAGCCAAATTTTTTCAACTTTAAACCTTTTTTTAATTGAAAATTCACAATTTAATGGAAAAATCAATACCGATTGCGAAGTTTAGATCAATTTTTTCATGAAAATTAGAATAAATCTGAAAAGTTCAGGTAAATGTATTCCTGAATTTTTTTATATTGATTAAAAATTCCACGTAATTTGGTATTTTTTCATTTTCTTAATTGAAGAATTGAAGTAAATTTTCGAATTATTCTCAAAAAATTGAAATATTGAATTTTCAGCGAAATCCGAAATTCCTAACAATATAAATATTTTACATAAATTTCCACAGCGTTGGACTAATAATTTTCCGCAAGACTATCCGCCTCATTAAATTCACTGTTTCCAACACACCTGCGCCCCGGGAATGCGCAGTATTCTCCAACAGTACCAACTCCCTTAAAGTTCCATTTTCATGAAAAAAATACCGCGTAACTTCATTGGCTATAATTCCAAATATTCCGGTACTTGATAAACCCATCAGATAAATTTCCGCAAGTGAAAAATACTTGCAAATTAATCAAAAAAAAATTAATTCGTTAATAAATCACCAAAAAAATAATGAAAAAATCAACCAACTGAAGCCTCCGCTGCTCACGCATGCGCATTCTCCTAGATCCAAAGCCATGAGAATTCTGATTGGAGAATATCCGAGCAGATAGGGGAAAAATGGAAGTGGGGTAAAAGGGGAAGACAAAGGCGAATACGCAACGTCCCCTCTCCCAAGGATGAAGTCATCTAAAAAACAAAATAACAGGCTGTGGTAATCCGTAGTCTTCTCCCTCACCCCCTTCAATTTTTATGGCATTGACTATTTGTCTCTTGCCAATTTGTGACCCTTAGTCAACTAGATAATTTCGCTTGACACGTGATAAAATGGAGAACAGCGATGGAAACGTTGACAAAGCAGTGATAATAGGTAATTCTAAACCCCTGATGATATTTGTTTGGGTAATGAGGTTATGATGCTACTTCTGTAATTACGAATTCCCAGATGATGACAGGAGCGAGGGGTCTGTCGAGGTGGAGCCGGAGAAGGAGGAAATCAGTAACGAGGAAACTGAGAAAATCTGCATAATAGATCCTGATACTGAAGTATGACTCCAAAATTAAAAATTTTCATTTCAATTTTTTTTAATAATTATCGTCAAATAATATTGATTTTAAACGATTAATTAGTTAACTATTTCAATAAATACGAGCCCAATTAAACAACTAATTGATTAATTAATTAAATAATTAATTAATTCAATGAAGATTTAATAAACTGATTAATTAAATCTTCTAGAATTTTCCTCCTCCATTATCCATTCTCATTTATCATTTCATTCATTAAAAAATGTGTTTTCAAAAGTTCAATAACCGTCATTTCACGTCATTATGCTTCTTCTATTATTCATAATTAAAATTTTGCTACTGACGATTTTTTTTTGGGTCTAGGAACTCGACTTTAATCACTCGAGGCTGTCGAAACTGGAGAATCTCGAGCCCCTGACCAACATCAAGAAACTGTGCTTCACCTGGAATTTAATCAAGAAGATTGAGAATCTTGATACTCTCACGACACTCGTCGAATTGGAGCTCCGGGATAATCAAATAACTGTGATTGAGAATTTGGATTCTTTAGTTAATTTAGAGTGAGTTAAAATCAAGGAGAAATAACCGATTTTGTCCCCCGACCCTTCTCGAAAATTTCCCTGTTCCTAGAATAAATTTGTCTCATTTACCACTTCATTGAATTTGAAGAAAAATTAATTAACTATTAATTAATTCAGTAGTGGTAAAACGAAGTGGTAGAACAGTTTAAGTCAATTTTGACTATTGGCCAGTTTTCAATGAATATCTCGGAATCTAAGGGAGATAGCAAAAAACTTGTAATAACCTTTTTTGTAGAGCCGATTGAGACCTACAACAAATGTAATTACGAAAATTTCGCTATCTCCCTTAGATTCGGAAATATTCCTCAAAATCCCAACTGAGAGATAAGTTGACAAACAGTTTCACCACTTCGCTACTGAATTATTCATTTTGATATCTGTCAGAGTCCTAGATCTGTCCTTCAACCGACTGAAAAAGATAGAAAACCTGGACAAACTCAAGAGCCTGCAGAAGCTCTTCCTCTCGTCAAACAAAATCGCAAAAATCGAAAACCTCTCTAACCTGGAGAATCTCATTCTCCTTGAGCTGGGTGACAACAAAATCCGCAAGATCGAGAATCTGAATGGTCTTGAGAGCCTGAATAACCTCTTCCTGGGGAAGAACAAGATCACAAAGATTGAGAACCTGGAGCACTTGGTGAACCTAACACTCCTCAGTATTCAGAGCAATCGCCTCACGAAGATAGAGAATCTGGAGGAACTCAAGGAACTGGATCAACTGTATTTGTCTGAGAATGGACTGACCTGCATTGAGAACCTCAAGACTCTAACGAAGCTAACGACACTGGATTTGGCAGACAATCAGATAAAAAAGGTGGAGGGAATCAGTCACATGGAGCTCCTAGAGGAATTATGGGTAATTAATTCTCCAGAGTGAACATTCCCTGGATTTTTTTAACGATTAAGTCATTTTTCCGATGAAAATCACCAAATTACTTTGATTAATCGATTTTAAACTCAACATTTGGCTCTTCTCCAGATGAACAACAACAAAATTGAGGACTGGGCAGCCCTGGAGGCCCTCGCAGAGAACAAGAAGCTCCAGACAGTCTACCTGGAGCACAATCCCATCTCCAAGGACCCCAACTACAGAAGAAAGATAAAACTCCTGCTCCCCTGGTTGACTCAACTCGATGCAACCCTGTGCAGATGAATTGACCAATCTCCCACCACCAGAAATGCAATTAATTTATTAGCTGTTGCACCTGAATGGGAATAAAAATCATGAACACGAACCTGTTGATTCTGAAACGTCTTCTCAAACCCGAGGAACTTCATTGAAAATATAAACTGATGGCTTCGATGTTACGTGTTGAATGAAGCTGAACTGATTAATCATCAGCCTTCCTCGATTTAAAGTAAAAGCATTGATATTCAACTCCTGTCCAGTGAAGGGAAAGCCTCCCATTGTTGATTGTATAAATGCAGTTTTTATAAATGTTCTCAAGTAACTCCACTTAGTCAAATTTAGGAAATTTGCACTTGTATTTTGTCAGTAGTTATTTATCCCTGATTTTTGTAATAAATGAATGAATAAATTCACCGATTGAAAAGGACTGTTGAATATTTTACTAGAATTATTGAAACTCGATCAACAGTATTTATATGAGAAAAAATTGAATTGCATTGAGAACCCAAGGCTCTAAGGAAGGTAACGACACTGGATTTAGCAATCAGATAAAAAAGGTGGAGGGAATCAGTCACATGGAGCTCCTAGAGGAATTATGGGTAATTAATTCTCCAGAATGAACATTCCCTGGATTTTTTTAATGATTAAGCCATTTTTTCCCATGAAAATCACCAAATTACTTTGATTAATCGATTTTAAACTCAACATTTGGCTCTTCTGCAGATGAACAACAACAAAATTGAGGACTGGGCAGCCCTGGTGTCCCTCGCAGAGAACAAAAAGCTCAATTGTACATATTTTATGAATGCAAAAACATAATTGTCTCCCCAGACTGCAAAAATCCCCCAAAACCCAATCCCCAACTGAAATTTAATTTTAAAAAACTCTATAAAAAAATAAAAATGATGAATTTCCTGGAATATTTAAAAATCAGAATACAGCAAGTGATTTCTACTGATTTTTACACTCACATCAGTGATTAATTCTCCAGAATGAACATTCCCTGGATTTTTTGATAATTAAAACTTTTTTTCCCACAAAAAATTGCCAAATTTCGTTGATTAATTGATTTTTAACTCGGGTCTTCAACTCGGGCTTTAAATTGAAGGCCTTCAATCCTCAAATGAAAGAGTGGGTCGAGAAATGGCGTGCTAGGACCTCTAAAGATGGTTTTGAACTTATAGAATACATCAAGTGATTTATAATTCAATATCAATATTCAGATCATCAAAATTACAAAAACAAACAGTCAAACAGTCTCGTCAGAGCACTTCCAGGAGTTCCTGACCCTCGTCCCCCCAAAATTCCCGATAAAATCGTCGAAAATACCACAGGACATTC